GGGGTATTTGTCGTTCTTCATGTTGTACCCCCAGCGTTTATTTCCCTTCTGCACAACAAGCGATCGGATATTAGAGCCATTTCCACCAGCGAGTCTAGACTGCGTATAGTAGTCCGCCTTTATGTGCTCTCTCCAACTAACAGCAAGATGGCATAGATCGCTATTAGCTTTTAGATCCACCAGTGCCATCGAGGTTCAGGATTACTAGCTGAAAGCGAAGCGCAGAAAGGCACCCATGTGCAAAACAATGTTCTGAAAATGATTGGCATCAAACTAAATCATGTTAAGGCCGCGTTGGAGACGCAAGGTCACCTCCCCCCCCCACTGCCAATGTCAACTGTTCCAGGCTAGAGGGGACCACCTGACTCGAAATGACCAAATGGAAGACAGCGTTGCGGTGAAAATGTCTGCGGGAATGACCACCGTATCTTTATCGGAGTGGAGTAGCGTAGCATACGTCTTGGAAGTCGAAATACCAGCGGCTTTGAGGGCAAAAATAAGCTCGCTCACGTTTTGGTTCTTACCAGGTTGATCGTTCTTGACAGCGCGTTGACGGTATGTCACGTCCACACGTTTATTGCAGATGCTTCGTGGTTATGGTTGTGACCGCCATCTCGAGTGTACATAATCTTCCAAGGCCCTGTCGGGTTTGAGCCATCCACTGCTACAGGTATAGGACATCCTGACTGAATGGAACGTCGATCAGTACGAACACGATCTTGATCACACAGGTGGCGAATGTTCTTCGTTCACTCCATTGATCACATGCAAATAGTCTGTATATTACGCCTCCTTCTTCGTTGCGCTCTAATTCTTCTAAGTTACGTTATATCCATGCCATACAGTCCACGCATGAATAGCTGCTTCAGCATCAGCTTCGATTGGAGATTCATCCTCGGGTGGCGGACTTAGTTGATAGTATGCCGTTGCCATTGTAGATGTAGATGTAGATGGTGGATAGAGTAGGTCGAGATATGAGCATGGGTGACTCTGTCGACCGAAATCCCACAGGCAACCGAGCGAGCAAAATGTCAAGGTGGTTGTGTGGACACTCTGAAGACTCGTGGAGTGCTGTTATCGTTGGACATGACCGTCCGGTGAGCGGTAGGGCCAGTAGCACCGCCTCCGACGCAATTGGCGGCACCATGGACGCTCTCTCAAAGAGAGGCAAAGCTGTGGTTCGTACGGTCCTTGCGATAGCCACGTAGATGCGTCCGCAGTCGCAACTTCCGGCACGACAGGGCTGAGAACTCCTTACGGACACCATACAGTGTGGCCATGGCACAACAAATCTGCGTCAGCACCATAGAAACTGGTCACCACAGCACTGTGCGTGTCAGCACAATACCCAGCACAATACAAGTGGACACTGTGGGAAGCACGCAAAAGGGGCGCGGTTAGGG